GCTGCGATGTATCGATCAGCGCGAAATTTAATAGATTTACATCTGTCGTTTATATACAGACATATATACGCACTCGTCGTATACTACGGCCCGTATGCCTCGATTATACAGCTCCGCTACTTCTCGGATATATATGTATACACATTTAACGCGTTCAAACGAGAGAGAGACGAATTTTTCTTTATGGGTTTTGCGGGTTACCGCAAGCTCGGGCCCGCTCGCGTTATATACGTGCTGCACCCTCCTGCTGCAGTCAGATGCATATATCGCGCCCACGCGCGATAATATTGAAATTCAGCGTGGAAAATGCAAATTTGTCTTGCACCGCGCGCGCGCTCAGTGTAAACATACACTCGGCTGCTGCTGTTATAACGCGAACGGGCTCCCGAAGATTATTGCGCGTACGGCGAAAACGTAAACTTTGTAATTATTTCAACGCACGCGCGCGGGTCCCGATGAATAATTCATACCCGCGCGAATATTTGTTTTTCTTTTTTTTTCTTCTTTTATTATTATTATTTTGTTTTTTTATTCGGGCTCAATTAATTAAATTATTTTCGTTGTACGAATGCGTGTATACGTACGTACGTACGCGACGCGCGCCCAATTGCGGCAAAAGCGTACGCAGCGTATCGGTCGTTCGTTACAGTTGCATCGAAAAATATTTATACACGCACACACACACAGAGGCACCGGAAAATGCATTTCGAGTTGTTATAATCGTATCACATCTGTGCCCTGCCGCTGCTGCTGCTGCTGCTGCTGCTTTATATATACGCGCGAATGTGCGCGCAATATACAAATCAGTTTTAGGAGGCTGTCTCCCGTTTCAAAATCAATTACAGCGCGGAGAAGCGACGGGGCCGGTGCTGTGCTGCTGCGCCGCGCGCGCGTGACGCTATACCGGATAAACTCGATTAAATTGTCATATCTCTCTCTCTCTCTCTCTCTGAAGCTCCAAAATTATTTATCAATTTTACCCCGCGTCGCCGCTGCTGCTGCTGCAGCTACTGCTGCTGATTTTTTTGCCCTATAATCGCAGTTTATCTTCTTTTTTTTTTCACCCACCCGATCTAATAATCCCTCATCGTCGAAGCACGACGACTAAACGATCATCAATCATATATAAATCAGCAGCGACGTCATAATATATAGCAAACGCAACACCAACATCTCACAAAGGATCGAGCAGCTGCAGCGGCTTTTAGAGCTGCAAGATCCCCACAGTATACGTAATACGCTGTGATTTCCTAGCGCGGAGCTCGTGTGTTAATCATAATCTTATAATTACTAAACCGGAGCTTTCCGAATCCTGTGCTGCTGCTGCTGATGCTTGCTGCTTCGTCGAAACAAACTATACGGTTCATAGCGCGATTCTCTCACCAGCACTATCCCCATACTCACACACACACACACACATACGTCTATATACGTAGTTGATTTTGTCCGGAATTTAACGTAAATTTATCCTCGTCAGCGAGAGAAACTAATATTGCCCGTGTGCAGCTCTGCTCTGCTCTGCTCTGCAAGCTCCGCGCGTCATTATTTCTCCTACGGGGGCCCTTTAAACCGTACGTGTAACATCGCATCATCTTCCTAGAGGCTAGACGAAGGCTATTGTTCCGAGCGTCTGCATGTGTGTCTGTGTGCGTGTCTGTGTGGGCGTAACTTTACCATGTATAAGAGCTGTATAATATAATCGCGAGCTTTCGGCGCGTATATTATCATTGCTGTTTTTACTGACCATATGCGAGATAAAAAATGATCTTCCCAGTGTAAACACGTCTCGTATTTATCATCGAAATTTTTTCATCTCGGCGTATTTATATCTAATTAACGTATGCTGCCGCGTGTAACGCACCGTGCCGTCGAAACTATACCCACGACCGAGCGAATTGCTCATTATACTTCGCACGTGTATAATCGTCGTCGGGCGCGTTGGAATCAAATGAAAATGGTTTCGAGCGCGGGAGTATCGCGTTGTACCACGCTCAGCAGAGAAATAGGGTCGAAAAAGAAAGTCACTCGGTCGTGGAAAATGACTTCTCGCGCGGCAATTTGCACGCGCTTTGTACACAATTGCTGGTACACTATGTGTATGTGTTCATGAGCTCGTCTGCTCACTCGCTCACTCGTTGTCGCGTCATCTTTGTCACATTGTGTAGCTGCAGTGCGGGCCGTTGCTCAGCTAGCTAGCTCATACGGTGCGTGTGACACATTGCGGAAAATCGAGAGCTGACTACACCCCCCGCTGCGCGTTGAATTATTATTATTATTATCATCCTCGTCGTCGGGCGCTCTAGTTTGGTAACTCTTTTTTTTTTTTTTCATCGCGCGATACTCGGATGTATATACGTAATGCTAATTGCCAACGGGTTACGTCGTTATCGTGCGTCGATGATCGTCGTCGAGCGAGATATTCAATTAGCGATGCGGGGGAGGTATAAACTTATGTGTCTGCTGCTGCTGTTGCTGCTACGATAATCGGGGGTGTAAAGAAAAGCGAGGAAATTTTTGCCCTCTCTCGCGCGAGCGCGCCCCGGCGTCTGGGCATGTTACAGCTCTGGGGAGGGTGGACACGAGTAAAATGGCTTGTTGGCAGGCTTTTATACCCTTTCTTCTCTCGTTCTATGCTGCTGCTGCTGCCGCTGCTATCTAGCTGCTATATATACTGCGTCGGTTCAATTTCACGGGCCGATTCACCGCGAGGCAACGATATATTATCTTCTTCTCTCTTTTTTCTCTCTCTCTCTCTCTCTACCTTTTTTTTTCGAGGCCTTTGAATATTTTGTTGCGATAGTGTAGCAAAATTCGAAATGCGTACCCTGCTCCCCTTTCCCTCGTGCGCACACGTATACACACTAGCTATAGCTGCGTGCAATGATTTTTTTTCCTCCATCCACCCAACCTTGACACTATATCGTAGACGCGATTAGTCGTATTTACCACGTAATTGTTTATATTATGGAGTCGAGCAGCGCCTGTTCGAGCACCGAGTCACATAGTTAACGTCTTGTTACGTGTATTATAGCCACACAGCTAGCCTAGATATCGTGTGTAAGCACCCGGCGGCATGCATGCATGTGCGCGTCGTGCGGAGTTTTATTTTTTAATCGTTGCGGCGCACGTGCTCCGCAGCGCACGCCTTATGAATATTATCTCAAGGTTCATTTTCCTCGTGTTTTTTTGACATTCGCGTGCGGTGGCAATAATTTATAAATTGAAGAAAAAAAACAACAACGACGACGACGTTTGGCGAGGCGGACGACCGTTTTTACAACTTTTTCCTCGAGCATGTGTGTATACTAATATAGCTTAATCGGATATCGGGTGTTGTCGCGCGGCCGAGTCACGCAATATGATTGCTCGCGCGGTATTAATATATAGCACACATAAACACAAGGTTAACGCGTAATATATAAATACTTGCAAGGAATATATATAAAGCGCGCGAATTTCGGAGCTTTATCAATTATCGCATTAATATTCATGCGATTTCGATGGGGCGAAATTCAAAGCGTATATTTATACATGGGGATAATGACACTTCTCGCGATCAATTTATTTCAAAAATATACCAAAGAAACGAATTCATTATTGCATCTCGAAGATTCGACGATTCACCGCCGCGCCGACACGTTGTAATAAAGCGTGTAACGAACGAACATATTCATCATATACACACACGCCGAGCGAGATGAGAAAATTTCGTAAAAATATTATTAAGAAATGCTCGATACGTCTACATTATCGTTACGTGCGCTGCGGTATATATACATATACACGTGATAATAACCGAGGCAAAAAATTATAACGCACGTGTGCATATTTTATCCGCACTCGAGCTATGTCCATCCGCTGCGCACTCGCATGCATCGCTATATATACATGTATACGCGCTCGTTCCGTTATATTATTATAATATTATAATATTTTGCGCGCTACATGTTTGTAATACGTGCATCGGCAAATTGCGCGAATTTTTCGTGCGCCTATATATGTAGTATCGAGGCACATTGTTTAATAAATAGGCCACATTGTGCGATCCGCAGCTGTACTACATATAATAATGTTGGATGCTCGCCTCGATTTTATGAAAATCGAAATTATTTATTGCTACGTGGACGTAGTTATACGAAGCATTATCCAAAACCTATTTATTTATAAAAAATAAAGCGAGAATATACCGAAGCTTTTCGGGTACGCGATCTCTTTTTTCCCTCGTACCGCCATCGATTCGGAGCCAAAGAAATACCTCAATTTCGTAAAAAATTCTCTCGCTCATTTTGCACGAGCGAGAGAGACAGCAAAAAAAGAAAAACCTTTTCTTCTTCTTCTTCTTCTCTGCGCGCGTGTCCGACGTCTCTCTGCATCGTGTGCGAGTATAGTATATAGATGCCGCAGCCACACATCGCGTCTCTCTTTCCTTCTCGCAGACACGATCCTCGGTAATCTCTTTCCCTTTGATGGGTGCATGTGTGCATTATATCTACGTGTGTGTACGTGTGTGTTCTATACGATATATATCCCCGAAAATGTGCACGCGCTCGCATGTACGTCTGCGGGTAAGCGTACGTGACTTACGCTCGGCATCAGCAGCAGCAACGAAATGTTACGTACTGTACTACGTTCGACTTTTCACTCTCGTTTTGGACATCTACTCGATGCTGCTGCTGGTATAACCGTGTATATACAGACACGTGTATAACCGCACACACATCGTGTATGGGAGTCGAAAAAAAAAAGAAATGAAAAAAAAAAAAAAAGGGAGAAGAGAACCTCGAATCGGCACACACGCTTTTATACATCTGCTCGATGTAGAGACATATACCGTGAATGATCGAGCTGACTCAATCGCGTGTTGTCGCTTTTCATGTAGCGAGAGACATTTTTGTGCACGACTCGTACAAAACACACACACACCGTAGTTTTGATAAATATTAAATTAAAGTAAAAAAAAATCTCCTTCTGACATTTTCCATCTTTGCTTCTGATTTCAGCGCGCCGTCTGCGAAGAAATCGAAATGGTCGAACTGAACGGCAGCAGCAATTCGTCGGGCGTCGGAGCGGCGGCTGCGGCTTCGGCCGCGGCTGCGTCCTCGGCCTCCAGTCAATCCTTCAACAACCATCATCATCTCCAGCACAATCTGCAGCACCTGCCGCAGAGCTATCACCATCATCAGGGCCTCGCGGCGATGATGGGCCTGTCCTCGGTGATGTCGGCGGGCGGCGGCGGTGCCTCGTCGGCGGGCTCGTCGTCCTCGTCGGCCGCCACAGCCTCGTCCTCGATCTCCAGTCGGGCCGGCGTGCTGGAGACGCAGGTGCGCGGCCAGTGGTATCGCGTCTACGTCTCCCTCGAGGACGACTACCTGAGCATATCGCTGGACGAGAGCTGCGACAGCTCGGGCAGCCAAGCCTCGTCCATCGGCGACGGCGCATCCACCGCTACGGCCGGCAGCAGCGGCGGTGGAAATAACGGCTTGAGCAATGGAAACAGCAGTTTGGGAGCTGCTGCCGCCTCGAGCACTTCGAACAACAACAACAACAACAGCGCCGGGGACAGCTGCTGCCTCGGCGATCCGGACGTGCCCGACTCGGTGGCCAATCAGAAGCGTACCGTGCGCGTCGTGAAAAGTGACAACAACGGCCTCGGCATATCCATCAAGGGCGGCAAGGAGAACAAAATGCCCATACTGATATCCAAGATATTCAAGGGCATGGCGGCGGACCTGACGGAGCAGCTGTACGTCGGCGACGCCATACTGGCCGTCAACGGCGAGGATCTGCGCGAGGCCACCCACGACGAGGCCGTCAAGGCGCTCAAGAGGGCCGGCAAAGTCGTCGAACTCGAAGGTGAGCTTACATTTTATATAGCTACTATATGCGTTTCGCGCGAAACGAGAGCAAAAATAATTACACCGTACATCCGCGACATTAAAAAAAAAAAGTAAAGGGAGAGAAGAAGAAGCGATCTTAATGCGTCGCGCACTCGCGAAAGAGCAAATAAAAAAGAGGCAGTAAAGTGTGAGCGCGAAGAAAAAAAAATTAAACTAAACGTACAGTAGTAGTAGTAGCAGTAGTAGCAGCAAGCGAAATAAAACGAAACAAGGGAAAAGAGAAAAAAGAGGAGAATAGAGAGAGAGAGAAAATAAAAGATGAGCAGCAGCAGTGTAGACAAGTGAGAAAAAGAGAGAGAGAAGACGAGTTGACGAGAGCGTTCGCGCAAAGTACCGGAACATTAACGGGCTTTCGCTCCAATTAGCCTTAAGTACAATAATATGCATTACGAATACTGCTTCGCGCGCACGTGTGAGTACGTATAGAATATACGTTGTATAAATGTTGTATATACAACCGAACGAATGCCACGTTGCATTATTATTACGTACAGCAGTAACGATTTTCCACACAGTTTTCTTTTCATCCAATCCTCGTCTCGTCTTGCATCTGCACGAGTTTATAATATATACACACACATTAACCATCACGATGTAAAACGTAAACAAGCTTTTCGCGCGGGAGTATAATTTAATTTCTGCCAGTCAGCAGCTCGATGCGCTAATATACATCAGAAAAGCTCGTCGCGAGTAATAACGTGAAATATACTTCCTCTCTCTGCGTCGCGAAGAAATGTGTGCCCGTGCGCGTTGCGAAGAAAGCAAAAAAAAATGATATAATAATAATAACAAAAAATAAACTAAGAAGATATAAGAAGTATGGTATAAGGAGCCCGGAAGATAACGGGGGTATACGGAAGGGAGAGAGTAAAAAGGGCTCGCGCTCGCAGCCCGAGCTTTTAGCTGGATTAATACAGCCTGGCGTGTGTATATGGTGCTGCAGCTCGCTTCTTACGTTATATGTATATAGATATATACTCTAATGTGTAATGTGCGCCGTGACAGTTTCTTGTGCGCGCGGTGTGCCATGCTGCTGCATTTCCCCAGTCTCTCTCTCTCACCGGAAGTCGCGAAAACTTTGAACTAAAACTTGCCTCGGCGCCGCTGCCGCTGCGAGTGTAAAGCGAACCGAAGGGACTTCATAATACGAGGATGCGTATATACATGTAGATACACACACGTGTGCGCTTGCATCCCTTTTTTATCCACTCGCCGTAAGAAAAAGAGGATTTCTTTAAGTATACGGCAAGATGTGTGTATACGCGCCTCCAGTTTTTTTTTCTTCATATACGCGCACAGATGTAATGCACGGTGCAAAAAATAAAAATAAGAAAAAATCTCTTCGCGAGATTAGCGAGATAAAGAGAAAAAAAATTAGTTTCTCAACGTTGCTCGCGAGCGAGAAAGGCAACACCGCTGCGGCGGCGCATGTCTTATAACTCGCGGCTCTCCGCGCGTTTTACAATCGGCGAAATATAATAATATCCGATTGCACCTGCAAGCAGTTGCGCGGCACTGCAGCAAGGCAAGGCAAGCACGTCTCTCTCTCTCGTCGTCGTCGACCGTCGTAGTAGTAGTTGCGCGCGCGGCTTATGCAACAACAACTCGCTGCAGCAGCAGCAGTAGTAGCACAGATGCGAATCGATTTTACAAACACACATACACACGCAAATCGAATATGAGATAAAACTTGTTTTTTTTTCTCTCCGATTCTATCGGCGTACCGTGTGACGCGGCGCATAATCATTTATAAATCGATGCTTAGAGATTTTTTTTTATCGTGTAGACTGAACGCGATGACCTCTGGAATCTTTGCGCGTCTGTCCGTCGATCTTTATATATAAGATGTGTATATAAACATCGCTACACGGAGCTAGCAGCACACAGAAATCCGAAAGGCAATCCCGTTTATTTTCTCATTTCAACGACTTGGCAGAGCCAAAGAGTCCGAGACTCGTTTCTTTGATTTTCCGTTTTTTTCTCCTTTCTGTTTCTACCCTCCCGGCCCCCATTTTTTCTTCTTTTCTTCCTCTCCCTCTTTTGTTTTATTTTTTTTTTCTTATCCTTGAACCTTTATTACGACGTCGAGCATACATATACACTGTCCACTAAAGAGAGAGAGAGAGAGAGAGAAAATCACCTCCCTAAGGGTACAGGTGGTCTTGGAAGTTTGTTTGGCCTCCTTCTCCCCCGACCATTGCCAAAAATCCCTCCCTCTCTCTCTCTCTCTCTCTCTCAGTGTCTATCTCTTCCTCTCCAGGTATACACAGACACAAATGCACGTCAAAAGGATGTATACATACAGATCATTGACTTCGTTGCAACCCAAATCATAAGCGCTTCAACGCAGCTAGTTACCGGATTTTGCGTTGACTGACAAAAAAAAATAAAGTAAATAAACGAGCAGCAGCGGTAGTAGCATCCGAATTGTTTCCTTTATAATAAAGAGAGAGAGAGGAAAACTCGATGCTCAAAGAGTTAATTTTTTCGTTCATCCAAAAAAACAAAACAAAACAAAAAAGCTGCTGCTCTTTTTCCGGCCTTTTCTGTTGCTGACACGCCGCCGCCGCCGCCGCTGCAGCAGCAGCAGCTTTTCATATTTATCACGCGCGGATTTCTTCAAGTGGAATATTTGAGCTTGCGGCCGGCGCCCGCCGAAAGTCTGTTCTTGTTAGTTTGCTAAAATCTATACACACGCTTGTGTGCGCGCGCGCGTGCCCGCTTTTTTTTTAAAAGTCCCTTTTTAATGAGTTTTAATACAAAAAAATGGCAAAAAGAAGGAAAAAAAAACTTTTGCTCGGCTATGATTTTTTCTCTTTGAAAGCATGTGCGCACACACACACCAAAACTAGAAACAAAAAGTACCTCGAGTGAGAGAGCTACTGAGAGAGAGAGAGCCTAGAGCCCCGTCCGAATGGCAGCTCGGCGGCGGCCCGTTGTACATCGAGAATGAAAATTAATTAAAGTAATTACAAGTGCTCGCGTGCGTTTATATGTAAAAGCAAAAAAAAACAAAAAAACAAAAAAAAAAGGAACTGCTTTGTCGCTTCTGCTGCTGCTGCTGCTGTATGCGTTACTGCCACCGCTCGCCTCCGCCGACTGATTATTATTTCGCTCAAACGCTCGAGAGAGAGACAGAGAGAGAGAAATCCTAGCATTTGGTCAAAGCGATTAAATTTTCTTCGTGTTTTTGTCCCGCGCGCAGCTCGCGTTATAACTCCGTGCAGAGAGAGAGAGAGAGAGAGAGAGAAGGAGGAAAAAAATTTCGCATTCAAAGCTCGACGCTGCTGAGGCAGCGGCGGCGGCGGTCGCTGAATCACGCGCGCCGTGCAGCACCGCTCGCGGCTCCGGAATTCGAGCGGAGCCGCTAGAGTAGGATTACTATTATCCTGCCCGCGCGCGAGAAACGAGTGTTTGAAAATTTTGCACCGAGAAAGAAGCGAGAGGAGAGAGAGATGTAGGAGAATGGCTCACTTCGTTAGGATCACCGGGCACATACGTATATAACTGATTGTAGACAAAAAACAGAGAAACGATCGCGAAATTTTCATTGTCCGAAATGAGGCACACACAAAATTCATATAATATACACTAATAACAGTTCCGTCAGTAGTAGTAGTATTAGTATATTGCTATACATACACACACAATTCCTTCTTTGCTCCGCTCTTGTGTGTGCACATACAAAGGCTCGTTTAACCGTATTACGCTTATAATACAAATAGAGAGAGAGAGAGAGAGAGAGACTGCGAGAGGGAAGGAGGAGAGAATATCTCGGAGAAACAATGGTCCCATTAATCGAAATGCGCGAATTGCCAACAACAGCTGCCGAGAGGGAGGGGGGAGGTACACTTCGTAGAGAGGCACTATGAGAAATTACCGCCGCGGAAAATTTCCGCATTTAATACGAATATATATAGTATAGATTATGGTATATGCATCGCGAGATGCAAAGGAAGAGCGGCTGCGGCGGCGAGCGCACTTCCATCGAGAGAGATCCGTAATACTTTTTGTCCCGTCGCTGCGAAATTGGTCCGATTTTTTTTCTCTCGTCTGTTTTTTTTTTCGTCGTCGTCGTTGTCGTTGTTATTCAACGGGTAGTTTTAATATTTAGGGATTCGCGTACGTATATATATCTTTGAGAAACAAAACAAAAAACAACAACAAAAAATAAAAGAAAAAAAAAGGAGAGAGAGAGAGATGCAAAAGGTCGTGACGAATGGTGATCATGATAGATGAAAGAACACGAGGATAGGAAGGAGAGAGAGAGAGAGAGAACTCTGATATTTTGCCGTGTGGCTTGTTGTGGATTACGGGAAATTAGTTTTTTATCTGCGCCCGTCGTCGTCCTGGTAGTAGTATTAGTAGTAGTACAGGGAAAATAGCTAACGGCACAGCGTCGGTCGATTTATTTCTATACAGCATTCGTGTGTGTATGCACAAAATAGCGTATACGGCGACGACAGGAGCGAACGACGACGACGACGACGAGTGCAGCGGAGCACTACTCGTGTTTGTTTCAAAGTCAATTTTGATTTCTATATGCGCCGCACACAATATATATTTAACGTTCCGAGCTAAAATACTTTACCGTAGGTTATATAACGCGCAAAAGGTTTGACTCAATGTTCCATACACGATATGTGTGTGTGTGTGTGTGTGTGTGTGTGTGTGTGTGTGTGTAAGCTGCTGCTGCGCACAGCTCGAGCGATGGCAATTGTACCTTTACTTCGTCGTCGCCTAACTTGGGTATTTTATCGCTCTCAGGCTTGACTAAACCCCCGCCCCCGCCCGCCCCACACTCGAAGGCATATATTCAGCGAATTTTGCAGTCGCGTAATTTCAACTTTGTATAATCGTTCCAAATTCACTATGTATATACTCGCTCACTCGTACGCCTCGCTCACTCGACTACTACCACTACCACCACTACTACTACTACTACTACTACTACTA